ACATTGATTTCAAAGGTGGGTATTGACATTTGAGTAGTATGGGTTTTTAAAAATACAATGGTAGAAAAAGTTTTAATGCTAAATTAATGAATTACATGCACTGTTTAACTCTATTATTGCTTTTTATTTATTTGTGTGTGATGGGATATGAATGTGTGTAGGGTGCATGATGTATGTGTTTGGAGGCCAGAGGTTGACAGTGTCAGGGTATCTTCCTCAGTTGCTCCCTACCTTATTTTTTGAGCTTCTTACTGAACCTGGAGCTCACCAGTTGGCTAGACTGACTGACTAGTGGGCTCTGCCTATCTCTGTTTCCATAGCATGCCACCATGTCGGCTTTTATATGGCTTCTAGGGTTCTGAACTCAGGCCCTCTTGCATGCAAAACAAGCACTTTACCAAGCTGTCTCCCTAACCCACTGCTAATTTTAAATGTATGTATTAGTGTAAGTAGCATCCCTTCTTGTATCCCTTTTTATTTCCACTCATCTGTTGACATTGGGAAAGTAATGAACCCAAATGCTCAGATTTCATTTTTCTTATTCTTTCCCCTTCAATTTCACCAAATCTGCTTCCTGGTCTTAATATATACATGAAGCAGTTACAGTGCAAGTGCTGGGTACATGTCAATGTCTAGTGGTATTTATCCATTAAAAGAAGCATCTAGAAATACTGCTCAGGGGAACTGGAATAGAATTGACATTCACAGAATGATGGCTTGGGTACTATGTGCTATTATTGAGTCTTCTCTTTGCAGCTTCATAGCTCTATCCATCAACCCAGTATACTTAAGAGTTGATTGAATTTTGTGGAATTGTCTCACATTGTTCATATTTAGTAGGGATTGATTGATGTGAATTAATTTATAAAATGAATTTTTGCTGCCAAGTTGATTATCAGTATCAACCATTTAGCTTTATGGTAAGTATATATGGGAAACAATAATAATCTGAAAGTTGTCAGATGAACATAGAGTCAGAGCAGAGAGGTGGTGAGTGAAGAAAATGTTTGTAGGATGATCTTATTAGTAGGCATTATCAAAGTGTAACAGCCCGAATTTCCCGTGTATGAATGTACCTGTCAAGGGCATGAGAACCCTCTACCCCTAAGTCTGCTGATTAGACTGCCCTTTTACCTTCACATGTGTGTAGTTTCCTGGGCCCCTTTTCTGGACTCTGTATATACTGTTTTGTTCTCACAGTCTACCTTCAGATATTTTAATAACATTAGTAGCCTGCAGTTTTTGTTCATCCTCAAAAAAAGAGAAAGTTTCTGGTTCTGTTTTTCCTAATTTTAAAGTATAGAAGCACTTGAGTCACAGCAGAGTTATATCCCAATAAGCCCATTGTGACTTAAGAATTATTTAATACATGTAACCTACCAAGCATTGCAGTTTAATGTGGACCATCTTTTTTGAGACAAGGTCTCTCTTTAGCCCCAGCTGTCCTGGAACTCAGGCTGGCCTCAAACTCACAAAGATCCACCTGCCTCTGCCTCCCAAGTGCTGGGACTAAAGGCATGCACCACCATGCCTGGCTTTTCTTTTTTTTTTCTTCTTTGGTATTTTTTAGACAGGGTCTTTCTCTAGCCCCAGCTGGCCTGGAACTCGCTGTGTAGATCAGGCTAGCCTTGAATTCACAGAGAGCCACCTGCCTCTGCCTTGAGTGCTGGGATTAAAGGCGTGCACTACCATGCCCAGCCTGACCTGGACCATTTTAAACTGCTCAGAACACTTATTTTAGCTTACAGTTGGGCAAAATCATCTAATATAATACAAAATCTCTTATACCTATAAAGTATTTAGAGACTGGTGTAATTTACTGTACTCTATTATCTATTACACTGAACATAGAAAATAGTAGTTGAAAATGAATATACTGTTATACCATTGTAAAATATTTAAAAATCCAAAGTAAGGCAGTGTGTGCTGACATATGTCTCTAATCCCAGCACCCAGGAAAGGCAGGTGAATCTCTGTGAGTTCCAGGTTAGCTGGAGTTACAGGGAGACCCTGTCTCAAAAAGACCCCCACCCCTAAAAAAAATCCAAAGTAAGTTGGGGACCTCCTAGATCTATGTTGATATGTAGTCTCATTTATTGTGAGTTGAGTGACTTATTGTTGACTGTCCCCTTGCACTGGCCACCAGAAACAGTTAAGAGATAGATGTTTTGTTGATATGCTCATGCCTTCCCTGACCCAAATACTGAGACCCAAAATTATTCCAGGTATGTTGGGTTTGTTTAATATTTATTTATTTAGACAGGGTCTCATTATGTGGTTCTGGCTGACCTACAACTCTCTCTCTGTACTTCAGGCTGGTCTTGAATTTGTGGTAAGCCTCCTGCCTCTGCCTTCCAAGCCTGGGCATGTTCCACCATGACTGGCATGTTGTTTTATTGTTATGAAACACATGTATTTCTAGGTACTACCTACATCACCTTAAGAGGAAGTTATTTTCCTTTGCTAAATATGGAGAAAATGGAGTACGATATGCTTAAGCCATTTGTCTGAGGTCACAGTCCTCTTGAATGCCTCCTGTCACACATGTCTGAGACAAAGACTTGTACTTTTCCTTGCTAGTCAAAATTGTTTTATAGTTTTCATTTAAAAATAAAGTATGCATCTTTTAATGTATAAAAAAGAAAACATGGGCTGGAGAGATGGCTCAGCGGTTAAGAGCACTGACTGCTCTTGCGGAGGACTTGGGTTAGATTCCCAGCACCCACATGGCGGCTACAAACTGTCCTTAACTCCAGATCCAGGGGAATCCGACACCCTCTTCTGACCTCCGTGGCATTGCACAACACGGGTGCACTCATATACATGCAGGCAATACACTCGTACACATAAAATAAAAATAGTAAATATTTAAAAAAAAACAAAAACAAAATTATTCTGTCTTCAGGAAAGGCACTTCTGTCATTAGCCTAAACTTGTTTGACTCTATATGTTGCTTTGAATTTGCCAAATTCTAGCTAGACTTTACCCCAAGATGCTTTGATTTGCTTATTTCTACTATTTCATTTATAAACCAAAGAACTATTAATTAAAGGCTATAAAGGCCTCACCGTATGTATGGCTGGCACATGAAGTAAACGGACAATATCTAGAAGAATGATGACCAGAGCCTCAGAGCTGAAGGTCATTTCTTGCACAGCATCCCAGATGCTGCTCAAATGTATCTGGTGGCCAGGAGCTCTCCCTCATTTTCAGGTAGTTTTGGTATTATGTGGTGTCCAGTGCCTCAAGGATTACTTTTTTAAAAAATATTTTTTAAAATTTATTTTTATTTTATGTGTATTCATGTATTGCCTGCACGTAGGTAAGTGTGCCCATGTCGTGCAGTGCCCACGAAGGTCAGAAGAAGCTGTCGGATCCCCTAGAACTGGAGTTACAGACAGTTGCTAGCTGCCATGTGGGTGCTGGGATTCAAACCTGGGTCTTCTGCAAGAACAGTCAGATAGAGACTATCTGGATACAGGAGTTAGACATGAACTAAAGAAAGACCCTCACCAAGAAGGGAGGAAAAAAGCTCTATTTTTTTTAAAACCACATCTCTGAGTTTGGGCCAGAAGCTTTAGTGTGTTTATCGTAGCACCTCAGTGATGAGACAGTAATTATTGTTCCCACTTTACAGATGTAATAACTGAGCTTGCAATCAGGCTAGGAGTCAAATTCAGGTCTGTGTGGAATCAAAGGTATGCACATTTCCTTATGCTGCATTGTCATCTCTCTAAAATAGGCCTTGTGCTCTATTTTAGAGATGTCTTCAAATATCTTTTTTTTTTTTCTTTTTGAAGCAGGGTCTCCCTGTAGCCTCAGCTGTCCTGGAACTCGCTATGTAGACCAGCTGGCCTTGAACTCACAGAGATCCACCTGCCTCTGCCTCCCGAGTGCTGGGACTACAGGCGTGCGCCACCATGCCCAGCTATCTTTTTTTTTCTTATTATAAAAATATACATGATAGCTGAAGCTGGGTGTGGTGGCTCATGCCTTTAGTCCCAGCACTTGGGAGGCAGAGGCAGGCAGATCTCTGTGAGTTCAAGGCTATCTTGGTCTATGTAGCAAGCCAGCTGGGGCTACCGGGAGACTATCTCAAAAATACCAAAAAAAAAAAAAAAAAAGTACACGATAGCCGGTCATGGTGGCACACACATCCCAGCACTCGGGAGGCAGAGGCAGGTGGATGTCTGTGAGTTCAAGACCAGCCTGGTCTACATAGCAAGTTCCAGGCCAGCTGGGGCTACAGGGAGACCCTGTCTCAGAAAGACAAAACAAAACAAACAAAAGCCAAAAATGTACATGATATAGAAAATTTGAAAATAGGAAAACTATTTGTAATGCTGCCATTCAGAGATAATTATGGTTACTAGCTTAGTGTGTTTGTGTTTCTCTCTAGGTTTGCATTTATATGGATGGATGTGTGCATCTGTTTCACATACATATGTGCACATGTTTGCATGGCTATATACTTACAGTATATGTTTTTATATTTATATAAAATCAGAATCACTATGTATATTATTGTTTTTACTCCTTTTTTTTTATAAAGTTTAGTGACCATTTTCTCATCATTCATAATAAGTTTTTGATGTATTATGTTTGTTTTTTCTCAGCATTTTTGTAAGCTATTTCATACATGTACTTGATGATTTCTTAACAAGTTGTAAGTATCCTTTATGACATGATTCAAGACTGACAGTACAGCTGTGCTGTTCAGTGTGCTCTCACAGTGAGACTTTCTAATTTTAAATATTCTCTTCATTTATGGTATTATCATTACAAACCAACTGACCTTTCCTAGTTTGATAGGTAAAACATAACTTCTCATGGGTTTTGTGTTTTTCTGACTATCAGAGAGATTGAATATTTGTTGGAGTTGTCAACAGTACTGTCAGCCAGCCTTCCGTCTCCCTCTTCCTTCACGAGCCACACTATATGAAAAAAATTAAAAATCTTCATCTTATTTGTGAGTTACTCTATGTCCTTTCTCTTGGCAGATCTCTGATATCTACATTAGTGGGGAGTCAGGGGATATGTCAGCCAAGGAGAAACTGCTCTTGTGGACTCAGAAAGTAACAGCTGGTTACACAGGAATCAAATGCACCAACTTTTCTTCCTGCTGGAGTGATGGGAAAATGTTCAATGCACTGATTCACCGGTATAGGTAAGCACAATGGAATTTCAGTGTTCTTAGAAGGCCTCTTCTCATTTCTTTCTCTTTTTTTTTTATTATTTTTATTTTATGTGTTTGAGTGTATTGCCTGTGTGTATGTAAGTGCACCCATGTCATGTAGTACCCAAGGAGGTCAGAAAAGGGCATTGGATTCCCTTGGAACTGGAGTTTTGGATGGTTGCTAGCCGCTATGTGGGTACTGGGAATCAAACCTGGGTCCTCTGCATGAGCAACCAATGCTCTTAACCACTGAACCAACTCTCCAGCCCCCTTATTTATTATTGGTTACAATAACATCTTCCCCTTCCACCAAGAATTAGAGATCTAAACATTAATTTGTTTGAAAAGTAGTCTTTATTAAGCCCCTGCTATTCCAAGCATTGGGCACAGGTAGTGAACTGAACAGCAAAAGTTCCTGCTTACAATGAGGAAAATAGGCAATAAACAAATAAATGCATGCTGTTATACAGTTATAAATACAGTGGAAGGGTAGAGAGTGACAGTGTTGTCATAATTTGGGCAATGGTGACCAGAGATAGCCTCTCAGATGAGGATGTTAGAAGTGAGCTGTGCAGGCTTTTGGGTTAGCGCATTCCAGTTGGGTGAAAGAGCAGGTGCACAGTACCTGAACAAGGACTGGATCCGAATAAGGAATAGCAGGTGACTTGGTATGACATGAGGAGGACAATAGAAATCTTAACCACAAGGCCGAGCATGGTAGCGCATGCCAGTAGTCCCAGCACTTGGGAGGCAGAGGCAGGCAGATCTCTGCGAGTTCAAGGCCAGCCTGGTCTACATAGTGAGTTCCAGGACAGCTGGGGTTACAGGGAGACCCTGTCTCAAAAAAGACCAAA